GCATTGTTTGTTTGGTATTTAAGTGTTTTTTGTTTGTTTGTTTAGATTTTGCTTTGTTTTTTTATCTTTGTTTTGTTATACTGTTTTCTTATTTGTTTGCATTGTTTTCATTTTTGTTTTGTTTTTCCCGCTGATGTGTTTTAAATTAATCTTGTTTGTTTTGTTTTCTGTTTGATATTACGTATGTGTTTGTCACAGGATTTCAGAGTGTACGGACAGCGAGGCTGAAACAGTCATGCAGTTGCGCAGTGAACTGCGTGATAAAGAAATGAAACTCACAGACATCAGATTGGAGGCTCTCAGCTCTGCCCACCAATTGGACCAACTACGAGAATCCATGAACCGCATGCATGTGAGCATCTGCTTTGACGAGACAATATGTTTAAAGGGACAGTTCACCCAAAAATGAAAATTCTGTCATTAATTACTCACCCTCATGTCGTTCCAAACCCGTAAGACCTTTGTTCATCATCAGAACACAAATTAAGATATTTTCGATGAAATCTGAGAGCTCTCTGACCCTGCATAGACAGAAAGGGAACTACCACATTCAAGGCAGTAAGGATATCGTTAAAATAGTCCATGTGACATCAGTGCTTCAACTGTAATGTTATGAAGCTACGATAATACTTTTTGTGCGCAAAGAAAACAAAAATAACCCTTTAATACAGTACATGCTTATACTCAAACTTAATCATTCAATATGTTTGACATGGAGGCCAATTTTGTTACTTAATTCTGTCATAAAATCCATTTTATCCTAACAGATTGAGATTGAGAGGCTGAAAGTGGAGAATGACAGATTAAAGTTGGAGAGCCGAGGCAGTGGTAGGAGAGCTCCTTCTCAGATGTCCATCTCCCCTTCTTCTGTGGGCCTTTCTTCTCAACTCAGCCTCACAGAATCCACCAGCTTAGGTAGAAAAGACTTCTTAACTTCAAAAATTATATTTTTGTGGCATTGTAAGTTATTGAAATTCTCTGTTGAATTATAGATATGTTGCTAGAAGACAGTGGAGATGGAAGTTCCTGGAAAGAGGGACAGCATGCGAAGGTTGTGGTCAGTCTGGAGAAAGATCCAGAGTGGAAAGAGGTACAACTCAAGACATTTCAGCAAAAATAACTCAATGATCTCATCAGTGTCACTTCAAACACTTCTTTGTACTGCTTTTGGCAGGAGTGCAGACCTTCTCAGTTCTTGCTGGGCTGCATTGGTGTCAGTGGAAATACCAAATGGGATGTCCTAGATGGTGTAGTCAGACGACTCTTTAAGGTACAAAAACTCTTTTACTTAGAGTTTAGAGACCTTTAAGCCGAAATCTTATGAAAAAAACACGTTCCTGTCACTCCAACAGGAATATATCATCTACGTAGATCCTGTCACGCAGTTGGGTCTGAACACTGACAGTGTGATGGAGTACAGCATTGCAGACATCTATCGCACCAGTGATGCAGATACACCAGAACTTCTGCCATGCGGTTATCTTGTGGGAGAAAGCGACACCATCTCTGTCAAGTTGAAAGGTACGACTGTTGCTCTTTTAGAAGCAACTAGTTTTGAAAACATGACACCACACCATTGAAATACATTGACGACAGGTCTCTGACAGTTTCCTCATGACTGAAGCCTTGTCTCTCCATCTGCAGACTTGTCTGTCAATAGTGAGGACAGTTTGGCGTTCGAGACGCTAATTCCGAAGCCAGTTCTGCAGCGATACATCTCTCAGCTGGAGGAGCACAGACGAATCATCTTTTCAGGGCCTTCTGGCACAGGGAAGAGCTTTCTAGCCAGCAGACTGGCCGAGTACTTGGTCCTAAAAGAGGGAAAACAGCTGGAACATCAAGCAATCGCCACTTTCAATGTTGATAACAAAACTACTAAGGTCAGTTAATCTGATTGAATAAATAATACAAAATTTAATGACAGGTTTATATCCTATTCACTTAATAATTTTCTTTGTAAACAGTGAGAAATTGTAGGCAGCTGATTTATTCAGCAATTTAATAGATTCTGAACACTTTTAGTGTTACAAAACTCCAAGGTTTTTCTTTCAGCATGTTGCAAATTTGAAGGTTCAGGTAATAATGCACAGTGTGGTTTATACAGGAGCTGAAGCAGTACTTGTCCAACCTGGCAGACCAGTGTAAAACCAATGTACATGCTGTTGACATACCTGTGGTGCTTATACTAGATAACCTTGACCATGTCACCTCACTGGCCGAGATTTTCAACGGCCTGCTCAACTGCAAGAACCACCAGTGGTGAGCAACACAACACATCATTATGGCAATGATTTTAACTGTGAAAATGCAGTTTTTTTGTTTACATTTTCATGTTTCATGGTAGATTAAATTGTTTAATTGTATTATTTTCTACAGTCCTTACATCATTGGAACCATGAATCAAACCCCATCACCCACTCCAAATCTACAGCTTCATCATAATTTCAGGTATCATCTCATTCAGATTTTAATTTACTACTATTTTGTCATATTTGTAATATTTTTGATAATATTTATATTTAATTAATTAATATTTTAATATTACTATTATTAAAATTGTTTTCTTTATTTAATACATACATCATTATATATATATATATATATATATATATATAATATATATGTTTATGCTATATACATATGTTTGTTTTATATAGCAAATATAGGCTGCATATATCTGATAAGAATACAGTAAAAACAGTCATGTTGAAATATTACTACAATTTAAAAGAAGTGTTCTCTATTGTACTATATTTTTGTATTTTACTATATTTTGTACTGAATTTTTCATGTGATGTCAAAGCTAAATATATTTAGCAGCCATTACTTCAGTTTTCAGTGTCACATGATCCTTTAGAAATCATTCTACGCTCACAAGTTTAAAAAATATATATGTATATATATACATATAATATATATATAATTTATACAATTTAATTTTTCTGTGTATTATATAGCATATATAATTTGGGATAGCTAATTGCTATACCTCAACTCTCCACAAGAGGTCCTGCAAGCATTTCTCAACACTTATTTTGCTCAAGCTCATAATACATGGGTAAAGGTGGATCCAGTCTTGTACTTGGTCTCTTATTTCAGATGGGTTTTGTGTGCCAATCATATGGAGCCGCTGAAAGGTTTTCTGGGTCGGTACCTGCGACGGAGGCTTCTAGAAACCGAGATCAGCAGTCGTGTGAGGAACGGCGAGCTAGTTAAGATTATTGAGTGGATCCCATGTGTTTGGCATCATCTCAACCGCTTCCTGGAAACACATAGTTCTTCTGATGTCACAATTGGTGAGTGTGGAAACAGCCAATCACAATCACCCATATGCCTACCTTAGAATTTTTCGACTCTTTCTAATGTTGTTTCATATAAATAAATCACTCTTTTCTTATGTATGAAACTAACTGGCTTAATATATTGATTCATGTAAAACATCTTTTGTCCACCACAGGACCTCGACTCTTTTTGTCCTGCCCAATGGATGTTGAAGGCTCAAGAGTGTGGTTCACCGATCTGTGGAACTACTCCATCATCCCCTACATGCTGGAGGCTGTCAGAGAAGGGCTGCAGGTAAGGTGCCTTCCATCATATGTCTATCATTACAATATTGGGATGCTAAAGCAAACAAACAAATAATTGTCTGTTTGTTCTGCAGATGTATGGGCGTAAGGCAGCATGGGAGGACCCGGCGAAGTGGGTGATGGAGAGCTTCCCTTGGGTGGCAAGTCCACAGCAACACGAGTGGCATTCCCTGCTGCGACTTCGGCCAGAGGACGTAGGGTTCGAAGGGTACAATATATCTCAGGAGGGCAGTCCAGGCAAGCAGCCTGCTCAGGGAAAACCAGAAGAAGACCCACTCGTAAGTTATATAAAGTATTTAAATTGTATCTTCATAGTTCTTACTTATGAAGATTTACCATGTAATATCCTGTTCCTATTACCACAGATGAATATGTTAATGAGGTTGAAGGAGACAACTCACTGCGCAGGGACAGAGAGCTACGACAGTGATTCCACCAGCAGACACGCTGAACTCTTCTGAGACTTTTTAATATCAGATTCGTCTTTTATATGAATCTACAAGGTGCTGGTAACCTGTAAAACAGGGTGCTGGAAACCCTTAAAAAAATTATTATTGCTCAGTAAGTCACATCACAGCCTAATCATCACCTGAAATGCAAGAAAAAACATGTTCAAAAAGTTTAATATTCATCAAAGATCGTCATTTCCTGAAATGGACACTAGATGGTGGTATAAATGTGTTCAAAAAGGAGATAAACCTAGTTGAGATGTAGCAACTCCATGACTGTTGCTAATTCATGTTTATTTTCAGTCATATATTCAACTTTCTAAATAGTATCTAATGTTGGGTGACTTTTATGTACTAGTGAACAACTTTGGTGCTGAACTTTATAATAATGCCTTTCAAGACTTGTTGAGACAGGCTAGCTTATGTCTTAAAGATCTGTAACTTTATACAAATGCAAATAATGCAAGGACATTATAGCCTTCCAATGGTGCACTATCTGTGGGACCTAACAGAGATATAGTTAAATATGAACTGTATTGTGGTTGCTTTTCACCAACAAAAAAGTGTTTTGGTAACACTTGCATAACATAAAGATCTGTTTGGAAAAGTATCGATAATATTAAAGCAAATTTTGTGCCAGGAGCATAGTTTGTGCCTCTTTATCTTGTACAATATTCTCTCTGCAATATTGTTACATTCAAAGAATATTTAACTTCATCACAACAGAATCTGGTAAAATTTGAGTCAATAACAGAAAAGGTTTCACCAAACAATCTCAATGAATAAAAACTATTACGGACAATATAGTGGCATTATTGCAATACTGTTGATATCAGGAAGACTTGAAACCAAAACTTACTACACTTCTTATAGATTTGTATCAGTCTACAAGGACAGCTGCATAAAATGAGTCTGCTTTGTTCAGTGTGAGAGTATGTTAAGGGGAGAAAGAACCTTCTGTGAATCATTAAGGTCTATACTGAAGATCTTGGGGTAGTTATGCATTCAAAATGATTTGGCACAAGGATCTGTGTGATGTGCTTTAGTCTGAATATCGAGGGTTAGTGTGTCTAATGTGGCAAACGTTTGCATAAAGTCCAAATAGATTACTGAGAGATGTTTTATTTGAAAGATTGCATTTAACTAGAAAAAGTTATTTTTTCAAAGGTTCCTTTTAAAATGATTTTCTAGAACATGTTTTAATAGAAGACCTTATGCAGTATTTCTTAATTTAGTTTTTTCTGTTAGATCTCACCAAATAATTTGCTGTGCTTTAAGTACGGCCAAGATTTTTTTCTTCAACACATGAAAACTTTTGTGTGGAAAACAATTCAATGAGTTTATAATTAATAATAATAAAAAAAGCAAATAGTGTCTACTTTCCCATAAATTGATGATAATTTTAGAAAACAAAAGACTGAATTTTGATTGAGTTTGTGTATATTTTCAGTTGTAATATATTGTAAATATTTGCCTCATGTTTTATTTGTTTGTGTAGTCTTTAAGGGGAATTGTTTTATGTAAAGTTGTTGTTGATGTTTAATGATCTTTTTCAGTGTCAAGTCGACTTAGTGATTGCATGTGACCCTTTTGGCATACATTTGATTATTTTCCTCTCCAACTGAGTCTTGTCAGTTACTCAGTGGCAAACTGTCAACAGTTGTGTTTTTTTCAGTAGCTGTGGAAGGAGTGAGCAAGTAGTGACATTGTTTCATTGATCCATGATTATTATTGCCATTGATTATTGGCAGGTCTGATAATATTATATAATGTTATAATATTAATAATAAATCTGATCCATTTTTAAATGTTTTAACTTAAGTAGTTTGTCAAAATGGATGCAAATATTGCTTTTAGGTGAAGAAAATTTTGCATAATTTTAATTTGGTAAAAAATCATATACAGCCTGTTGTATCTGACCATGCATAAATGTTCATTTCAAGGCAGACAAAAACGAACATTTTGGTATTTTGCTTTGGATTTTTAATTTGTAAAAATATTTTTTCACATGTATATACATTTTTTACAAAAAAAAAAAAAAAAATCTCAGTATACAAAATAATATAAGACTTTTAAGTTAGAAATGTGCATTCTACGTATTTAAGATGATAGACAAAGTATCCCAAATCATTAAGAAAGATTATAATAATCTTGGTATAAAAGCTCCATACAAAATATTCATACAAAACACTATACAAGCTGCCAAAAACGCAGCGGTTACGACGTTCTCTCTTAAACTGAAAGGTTTCCTATGAAGTTCACACAACTACCGTGTCAAACAAGACCACTTTTCTGAAAGTTTTCCTCCAGTTTTGTATAAACATAAGTCATTAAAAATTAGCACAGTCTGCTTAATGATTATGACACGGTTATTTCCTCGTCCTCTGATTCTGAGAAGTCTGAGTGCTTGCTGGAGATAGAAGGCGAAGTGAAATGTAAATCTACGTTGAGCTCGTGATCCCCGCGCGGCTGACAGAAAGGCGCGTGCGGGCTTTCTCCCAGAGCCGCGTCAGTTTCAAACTTTTTTCCAACGTCGCTCAGGTCAGGATTAGGGTTCATTTTCGTCGGTAATGTTTGTTCTCTGCAACCTCCTGACGACAGAAGCTCTCTTTCTTTGGAATTGCGCCATTTCATTCTTCGGTTTTGGAACCAAATTTTAACCTGATGAGAAAGAGTTCGCAAGACATGAGCACACCAGTTAACCTCAGACACCCACAAAGGTACGATACAAAAATATGTTTGTGGACAACATCAGCTTACCTGAGAGTCTTTAAGGCCAAGTTTCGTCGCCAGTTTCTTTCTGTCTGGTTTGCTGATGTACTTCTGTTTCTGAAACATCTTCTCCAACGCTTTTCGCTGCACGTCAGAGAAGACGGCCCGTCGAAGCATTCCTCTCCTCGGCTTCCCTCGAGCCGTGAGTGGCCATGCGAAAGTTCCGGGAATAGGCACTGCTGAAGACGATGCTATAGGAAACAACCAAACAAACTCTTTTAAAAACAGTGTTTCTCTCAAAATAAGCTAATACGAGTCTTTTCTAAGAACAGGAAGTAGTCTTTGGGCTTGGAACGAAAGTTGGGCTTTAATGTTTTTTTTTTTTTTAACAACCGTTTGAGTGATATGGAACGAGGAAGCTAATTAGCACATTGCTTGGTTCCCAAAAGCATTGGTATGGTAACAAGGGCGAGCAGTCATTCAGAGCGCTCCAGTGAAAGATAGAGGTGCTAATGAAGCGTGGACGGTAATTGTGTAGTAATGAACTGACCGAAAAAGGCTTAGGACAGGCCACTAAAGCCATATATTACGGCCACAAAAGAGATTTACACTTAAAAACTAAACACAACGGCATGCCAGGGACATTTTGAGAATACTGATGGCGGGGGACTATGTTTGCCCCCAAATATTTTCATTAAATGGACACGAAAAGCCATTCATACTGCTGAAGTTGTTTTGTTGACGTATTCACACCGCAGTGAAAAGAATCAGTCTATTATCGTCGGTCTGAATGAGTGCACGATCCACAAGGCTGTTTGTAGCCCGCATTCATTGGATTGATGGACATGAAGCTTAACGCAAAATAGACCCACTTTTATTGGTTTTATCTGAGGTATACTTAGCTTTAACCAATATACAAATATAGTTTTCGAAATCATTACTCTGTTTAGAGTAAATTTTAAGAAACTGTTATAATCCATTTATATTGCTACTAGTGAACACAGTAGCCTAATTAAGACTACTACACCCTGTTAAGCAATTTTCATGCTGCTACATGAGACCAAAACTTTTGCTTGGACTTCCCGTGAAGACTCCCCACACTCTATGTGGTCTTGTGAGAATATTGAAACACTGAATAGAAGCTAATAGGGGAATTAGTCCATGACTGGTAAATGCCTATCAGCAGCATGCTTAAGTCAACGACGGGTCTGTGTGTGGCTGCCCAGAGGGAGCTGACCAATTGGTCATGGTGCTGAAAGCATTGTTGCCAATCAGTAACTAAGTACACTGGCTCGGTGGGAAAAGGCAGCGATGAAGAGACGCCAACAGTTTGCTTGTGAGAGCGGACCCGCCTTAAATTGGGACCATGACAATTCCGGCTAATTTGTGGATTAGGGGAAGCGGTGCAAAATGTCAGCAGTCACTGCGTTTGCTAAATAGGGCATCAAATTAGCGAGACTGATTCCACAATGTCCTACAAATTCCAGCATTGGAAGCAGATTCTGAAGGCCCATCAGTTTGACCGAATTAAGAAATGACACAGCGATTTTTTTTAGGAACCCACCTGGGAAATATGATGCTCTGATGAATGGGTGGAATGAGCCGTCAAAACATGGGAACGGGAATGTTTTCGCATTCATCCCTTGCACTGAAGGTGGTGGTGAAGCTATGACACAAAATAAAGCGGACTTTAAATGAAATGTACAAGTTGAATGTGACATATGCGTTTACAACATAAATGTCGCTAAGTTCTTAATGAGCGTATTTTAAACAAAACATTCAAGACAGTTACTCTTTTTGATGCTTTATCAGCAGTATAAAGTTGCTAGTTTATAAACATAAGAGAAACCTACCGTTTCGTGTTGTTGACGCGAGAATCGCATTCACTCCAAACTTCAAGTAATTTGGATCGTTTGAAATTGATGTTTGTGGAGAGCTTGATCTTTTTGGCAAAGATGTAGACATGGCGACGTGGACTGCGGAGGAGTTGTTCAGAGTTGTGGCTCCTGTGGCCGGAGGAGATGCGCTTGGAGACGGGATGCTCCTGTGCATGAAGGCGGCAGGTCTGCTGATGCGCAACAGGTCCTCCACCAGGAAACTCGAGTGCGTGGTGAACGCCGACTGTAAAGTGGGAGGCCAGGAAAGAGCCGCCGAGGGCCGCAGAAAGTTTGGATACATAGCAGGTGGCGCAATAACACTTGGCAACATCATTGCACCGTTTTTTGTTGAAAATGACAGCGAGGAATTCACGTCCTGCAACTCTCTCACTGCAGAGTCTTGCGTAGATTAGAGTCCAAAAGGGCAGAATGAAGGAGTTCTTGCCCGTCCCTCTCTTTTCCAGGGGTTTTATAGTGGACCGCTGGAGAAGCCTTTTCATGGGTGACAGCTCTAACAATGAAGTTCAACCAAATTCTCCACGTGAGTTCCGTTTACTCTAGAGGCGGCGCGTCCTGATTGGACAGAAGAAATCTGTCACCACAAGCAAACCGCAGACAACGGACTTTTAGGGAAAAAAAAACCCTTGGAGTCTAGTTGATCATCATCATAGTCTTGCCGTTACTTATATTGCAATAAAAACACTTTCTGCTTTGCCTACGAAACGCAATTTATTTTTTATATTACATCTTTGAAACATAATAAATTAAAGGAAAACCAGGCTCTAAAAATAACCAATATAATGAAAAGGGGGGGATAATCATTTTAACTGCAAACTTTGAAGTACAATAGTGCTGGGTTAACCTGTTAAGTTAGGCCTAATTAGGCTACTAACGTTATTCAACCAATTTAATTTCAACTATCACTGAAAAATTCTCTGAAAATACGTGTAGTAATGACAAAAAGGTTACAGATGAAGACATTTTACGGTATAGCCTATTTTACGGCTATACTGTCCAGTGTTTGTAAAATAAATTAATAAAAATGCTAACGCAGGATAGCTACACTGTCAAATTATTTTTTCGAAGTTGTAAATAAAACAAAGAATATTGGACTACATATAAGAAAATACTACTAAATACAATTTTTTTTCAGTGTAGTAGTTGCCAACCTCTCTTTTCTGCTCATAGATAGATAGATAGATAGATAGATAGATCCGGCATAACAATTCTAGACAACATTTCTTTCCTCCATGGTTGACTGAATTAGGCTACACAGGTCACACACATTTTCTTCCATTGAGTTACAGATAATAAAAAAGAGGAATTTCATTGTGTGAGGAGCTGGGTCAGAGAACATGCTGCGCCACACGTGGATAAGGTTTAATGTGCTATGGCAAAGCACAACCTTTCAAGTTTTGCTGCTAAACCGCAGGGGGAAAATGGCCAACGCCTACTGATAAAATATCTTATAAAACGAGAAAAAGTGCGAACAAAAGGATTTCTCCTTGGAGGCTTTTATTGGGACAGACGCTCTCTTCTGTCAGATGCACCAAAAGAGGTGAATCCCTAAGCCTGTGGGCTAAGACCTGTGACTAATGGCGTTTGACCGCTGCTCTGTCAGGATTTGTCCCACTGTCCATTCATTTTCTTGCAGCTACCTTCACATTTATCTCCGCGGAGTCAACTCGTGCGCTTTGATTTGGACAGAAAAAAGGCGAGGGGAAGACAGTCCGCGTGAGCCCTGGGCGATGACACGGCGAGTAAATCTCCATGAAATTATGCGCCCGGCGTTGCTCTTTCGCACAAATGGATTGTGATACTGGCTCTTTAGACAATATTTCAGAACTTTTTTAAACGATATCAGCTTGACAGCCGTCTTAGTCCATCTTAAGAAGTCTTAGCAACCATCTTAGTAAAAGCAGAGAAGTCTCTGTTGGGGGCATCGCGCAAGTAATTTTGGGACAGCTGTAATTCCCTCATTACGGCCCAGTAGATATCCCTAGCTTTTTTACTTTGGCCAACACAACCAGAACTTAAAATAGTAGTTGTAGCTTTATTATCAAGCTACTAATCAATCTATCTTGAATCACATTAGTGATAATTTCTCCATTGAATGCAACATTTTTGTTGACAGCTTTTGCTGCAGCTTAAACAAGTATTAAAATCTATCAACACGCCAATAACAGACCCACAAGTGATTAGCATGTAATTATTCCAGTTTTACCAAATAATACGACCGTTAGATTTTCATCAGTTGTTTTTAGCACCGCCCGGGGCAGTCGTATTAAGACACCTCATCACCTTCAGAAAACCCAAAAGGACTTCTGCACGTTCAAAGCACTTTATTCTTTCTCTTGCACTTGAAAATCCCTCTATTGTACCTATCAAGCAGATGGTTTGCAGGAAATATAGCTTAGCTTTGGTGACCGAAACTAATTTCTGCTTGCTTTTCAAGCCATGGCATGATTGTTTTCTCTTTACCAATTAGAGTGAGTGCAGCTGGTCGGGCGCTGAATTAAACCCATTAAAGACACATTTCTAAGATATTATATCCACATAAATGTGCCTTCCCTCCTCCGGACACACATTAACGCTTTTGCATTACAGGCTGTGCTGAGGCCATTCTCCTTGGTGAGCTCAACGGCATAAACCGATAATGATTTGGCATCATTTTATTATCCGCATTCTGTAGTTTTGGTCTCTATAAGCAACTTAAGTGAAATGGCAATGCAATGATTAAAGCACTTTAAAAACAGTAATTTTAACAGAAAACGAAAAACTTGGCAGTAAAACTCAGTACTTTTATAATATTATTGAAATTTATGTTTTTGTTTATAGAAAGTAGGCTACTCATTATAATGTATGGGGGAAGATAAAAACAATTATAATAGTTCAAATATGTTGGTAGGCTACAATAATACTATTCAATTAAATTACATGTAGACCAGTCAGGAACAGAAAAATATTAAGCCACTAAAATCTCATAATGCCTGTTTTGTCACTTTTTTCTTTTGCTAATTTCATTATTTATGGAACTTTTTACAGAGTAATAATAACCCAATGCAAATTATGATTAGACTTTTTTAATTGAATTAATATTTTTAAGTAACATTTTAACACTGCATTTGAGTCTGGTTTTATCACCTTAAGCCGCCCTTCGTGCAAACCCCTTTTAGACAGACCCAGCATCTGTTTCTGTAGATCCGAGGACGGCAGAAAACTGAGGAGATTAACCAAGACCCAAAATACAGAAAAGCATTGACAAGCATTAAATTGATATTAACTCTGCATTAAACATAACGCCGGAGCAAACATAAGACTGCAGAACAAAGCGTGTTGATTTGCGTCAGACAAAACACCTGTTCTGTTCAGACAGCTTTTGCGCAACACGTCTCTGCAGCCTCACAAATCACCAAATGGAGAAACATTTGTCCGGTAACTTGAAGACCAGTGTTAGGTTGTAATTTGGCTTTGAAGCATGTTTTGGTTAAATGATTATTAATTACATACTTTAACTACACTATAAATTAGTTAGACGACATAGGTTATATATATATATATATATATATATATATATATATCATCGCGAATGAAAACGAGGCTGTTAGGAGGCGCACGTTCAGTAATGTTTAGCTATAATGTTACTTTTGATCGTTCAGGTTGCCAAAAACCCTAAAAAAGTGTATTTGAAAAATCAGAAACTATTGAGGTGACAGAGGTGAAAAGGTGACAGAAAAAAAATTCTTGAAAACAGCTGTGAAAATTAGACTTGATCTATAGATTATAAGAGAGTACAACCTAGCAAAATAAGGATCACTTCAAATAATTAGGGAATAAATTTAGCTTTTGTAGGTTTGTGATATATGTTTGGCTTTTTATATCCCACGATTAACCATTGTAAATTGAGCAATCAATCTTTATATGCTCAATACATGATGTGTATGCCTATTTTAAATTTAAATGTAAACTTTTTTCCATTTCCTTAATTTAAGACTTACATTTTAGAAGATATCATCATTGCATAGTAGTCATTAAATGCTTTGATAGAAACACAAGCATGATTAAAATGTTTAAAATTATGGGTGGGTTTGTGTGTATTTCAGTTTTTGTTGATTTTCTTAGATAATTAGGATGCAAAATTAAAATCAATTTCCCATGGATAATATATTTCTCATCCTCTGTTCTTTTAAAGATAAGACTTCGTTTAAATACATTACAATACAATACCCATCAATAGCTAATTCACCATATGCATTTAAAAGAAAACAACAAGCTTTTGAGATTTAAAAAAATCTCACAGAATCTGTTCATTAGATTTAAATTGGTCATGGGAGCTCAGGCCACATCAACGTGAAAAATGTATTTTCTTCTCATTTTAATCTCATAAAGTTTCACAGTTACGGCAAATCTCTTCAGACTCCTCAGCACCTGTCAGGTTGTTTTGAAATAAAGCTTGTAAATGGCTCTAGTTAAATTGTGTTTCTGGGGAAGCCCAAGCGTTGCTACGCAGCCTGAAAAAAGGAACAATCCTCGTGGTTGTCAAGACCACTTTAAATTAAGGGCTTGTTGCTAACAAGCAATCACTGCTGCAAATAAAATGACCCGTGGTCATGCTAACCTGTGCCATTTTTCTTGCTGACGCTCATAATAGAAAAAGCCACTCAATGAGCTTAAAATGGGACACAAACAACAAAAAAATTCAGTGCTTGGAGGGAGGACTCCCTATTTAAAGCTAAATGCTTGTATGGGGCTGTAGGGTGGTGTTGAGAGTTTGAGCCCATTAGCACAATCTTTAGCTTTGTTTTAGACCTGAACTCAGAGAGCAGGGGAGAGAACCTTGTCGAAAGGCTCCTATTGAGTACGCCTGATAAGTTGAACATGGGGCAAAGCAGACGTAGCTGAGGCGCTTGTGTACTGAGGAGGAGCTGGGGTTGTTCGCTGGCCACTTGAATGGGGGACGCCAGCGCCCGTTGGCTGGCTGGTATTGATGTGGTTTAGCCGAGTAATCGGATTGAAAGTGAGCCACGGTATTTGTGTCAGTTCACATTTCGTCAAATGCATAATATGCATGGCCTTGGCGTGGGGATTCTGTATTGAGACTTTGGCTTGCAATTCAGCGTTATGAAAAGGCAAAGCCTCATTTAATTCAAATATAACTCTCACTCGACCATTTACAGATTGCTATATTTGCATAACAGCAAAGAACTTTTGCCTTTTCAAGGCCTGGCTGTGTGTGTGTGTGCGCAGGTCCTATTCCTGCGCTTCTCCCTGGTCAGGCCTTAAAAGGGGAAAATGTACGCAAATGTGCGAAATAAACGTGTACATTGTGAAGGAGTGGGTTTTCTCACAGGGATAAGCAAACAGGGGTAAGGGTGAGAAGACGTTAGACGCTGACATTTAGCTTTTTTCCCACTGCAGGAGCAATATGTCGAGTCGGACAACAAAGCAAAAGTACTACGGTGGTGTAATTCGCCTTAAATGACGTGCACTCTCACACGGTGGCGGTTTTGAATGGGATTTT